GACATACAGCGGAGGCCAATCCACAAGAAACCCACCGCGAGAAACCCAACCCTAAGACCCCAGAACGTCCATGGACTTCGGTGTGGGAACGTCGATCTCGAAACCGTCGAAACCCAAGAAACCCAGGGCACCCTGGAGGCAAGCAGGGTGCTTCTTGGCATGGGTCTCCGCTGAATCGGCTCCGGCAGGCCAGGCGGGCCCGGTCCGATCCGACTCTGGTCTTCCGATGCGGCCCGGTGCGGGGCTTGAGCGCGTCTTGCGAGGCTCCGAGACGTTGGGTCCGATGTCGAGGCACTCTTGATGATCATCCCCTGGATCCCGCCAGCCCTTTAAGGCGTGAGTGGTTTAGAGAGGTTCGTCTTCTAATCCGCCTTCTTCTCCTTCGGGAGGGGAAAATCACTGTTCCCTAGTAATACACACCCCCTCCCCCAGGCGACAGGCAGCCAACCAGGACAAATTACACCCCCGCACGCCATCCCTGGAAAAAAAACAATACAAAATACGCTTTGGGGCAACTTCTTGGGTCATGCTCGTGGGCCCAGCGAGTACTTTGCATTGTTTTTTGGTAAGGAAGGCGGTGGGTTATTATATTTATATATATATGTATACATATATACATATATATATATATATATTGCCTGCTGTGCGCAGGGCCATCCTCCGTGTCAGAAACCATACAAAGTGCACTTCGCGGCTAAATCTCGATCATGCGCGGCCACCGTGCGGTCACTTTTCATTTGCTTCTGGCAAGGACGGCGGGATCCTGACAGATTGCCCGCTGTGTGCAGGCCCACAAGACACCATGATGGCCACCCCGCCGCGAACCTCCTCGCCGCCAATCGAGTTTCCTGACTCGTTGATTGGCGAGGATCCGCCGGCCCCCTTGTGGGGCCACCAAGCTGTAGGGCGAAGGTTCGCACTTTCCTGTACCAATTGCAGCTTCGAATTCCCACTGTTACAATTCTGCTTCTTGCTGCTTACTGTTCCGTGTTGACTTCTTGCTGCTTACTGTTCCTTGTTGATGGACCGCGCGAGGGGGGGAGGTCCAAAACGAACATTTTCACCACGGAGAAATCATATTGTCTGAATTCCTGAGGTGAATTTTTAAAAATTAACACCCCTCACACTAAAACGCAAGGGATTTGCCACATTTCTGACATTCGGTGGCACCCCTCACGCCGATCGGCGGGATCAAGGTCCAAAAACACACGGTATTTGCCACGTTTCTAAAATTCGGTGGCACCCCTCACGCAGATCGGCAGGGTCAGGGTGCAAAAACCATAAAGGATTTGCCACATTTCTGACATTCGGTGGCACCCCTCACGCAGATCGGCAGGGTCAGGGTCAAAAAAAACAAGGGATTTGCCACGTTTCTGAAATTCGGTGGCACCCCTCACCCAGATCGGCAGGGTCATGGTGCAAAAACACCAGGGATTTGCAACATTTCTGACATTCGGTGGCACCCCTCACGCAAATCGGCAGGCTCAGGGTCAAAAAAAACAAGGGATTTGTCACGTTTCTGAAATTCGGTGGCACCCCTCACGCAGATCGGCAGGGTCAGGGTGCAAAAACACATAGGATGTGCCACATTTGGGAAAATTCGCTTGCACTCCTCACGCAGATCGGCGGGGTCAGGTTGCAAAAACACACGAATTCTGCCACATGTTTGAAATTCGGTAGCACCCCTCACGCAGATCGGCGGGTCAGGGTGCAAAAACTCACGGGATGTGCCACGTTTCTGAAATTCGGTGGCACCCGTAGCACCCCTCAAGCAGATCGGCGGGGTCAGGGTGAAAAAACGCAAGGGATGTGCCACATTTCTGAAATTCGGTGGCACCCCTCACGCAGATCGGCGGGGTCAGGGTCAAAAAAAACAAAGGATTTGCCACGTTTCTGAAATTCGGTGGCGCCCCTCATGCAGATCGGCAGGGTCAGGGTGCAAAAACATAGGGGATTTGCCACATTTCTGAAATTCGGTGGCACCCCTCACGCAGATCGGCAGGGTCAGGGTCCAAAAAACAACGGATCTGTCACGTTTCTGAAATTCGGTGGCACCCCTCACCCAGATCGGCAGGATCAGGGTCAAAAAAAACAAGGGATTTGCCACGTTCCTGAAATTCGGTGGCACCCCTCACGCAGATCGGCAGGGTCAGGGTGCAAAAACACATGGGATTTGCCACAGTTTTGAAATTCGGTGGCACCCCTCACGCAGATCGGCAGGGTCAGGGTCGAAAAACAAACATGTCCCGACACTGCTTCACGGCGGCGTCCAGCCCTCATGATTTAGCTTTTGCATCTCCTATTATCCGAGACATGGGGCCGGCGGCATGGGCGAAGCCCTTACGGATAACTCGGTGGCAACTCATGGGAGCCTCCCATACCATCTTGTCGGCTCTTGCAGATCAACGCTTATCGACGCTTGTCGACGCTAAATCGACGCTAAATCGACGCTAAAATCGACGCCAACCGACGCTAAACCGGCGCTACCTCATCAACTCCCAGACGCTAATCGACGCCAATCGACGCTACAGATGGACTTAAGAGGGTACATCTAGGCCTCCCAGATGGGGTCCAAGTAGATGGGGTCGGAGGATCGCGCCGTATCGCCGATGCATCGATGATGCGACTCGATGCGGAGCCCGATTTTCTCCCAACGGACGTCGCCGATGCATCGCCGACGTCGGCATCGCCGATGCATCGTCGATGCATCGCCGATGTATCGGCGATGCGGCGCGATCCTTCGACCATATCTACTCGGACCCCATCTAGGAGGCCTCTTCGGGGATGGACAGAACTCCTTTTAGTAAAACGTGGTTTAACGAAAACGACCTCGGGCCCAAACCTGTCGGGCGCAAGCCTGGAAAATGACGGCTGCGGCGCCCTCTCGAGAACCGAAAACGGACAATTCATGAATCGACGTGACAGGGTGGGGGTTCTGTCCACCCCCGACCTCTGGCATACCCAGGCTCCCATGCTTCGCTGCCGAAGGATCGGGCTCGGATCTCTCGCCGCCGAGCCACGCTGCCCTGGATGAGTGCGCTGCCCGGGACAAGGGGCAAGCGGGCCCGCTCGGGGCGAGCCTCCTGGCAGCAGCCCAGCAGCAACGCTGGGCCGGGCACGTCCTCCTACAGGCGGGCTCTGGACGAAAAAACCGTCCCCAGGTCTTCTTGACTGTTTCTGAAGATTACCTCGCCGTCGCTCGGACGTCCACTCCCTGTGCTTTTTGCGGTTTCGTGCGTGCATTTGTCACTACATGATTAAGAATGCTTCTCGATGGTCGTCGCCAACGTCCGAGCGATGCCAAGTTACTCCTGTGGAGCAACAGGCCCGACGTGACCATAACTCGGGCGTTGGCAGAACTGGGTTTAGTGGAACCTGGTTTAGTGATGTGTACCGGGGGCGCCCCCCCGCCCCATTTCCACCAACCGGAACTGCCGTCACCCGAAAAACACCAGTTACGGCAAACCTGGTTTAGTGCATCTGGCCAATTCAGGGGCCCCAGGGCCCTACCACTAAGCGGGTCCCCTTACCCGGGGTCCTGGCCATACCCGAATAACTCGGAGGAGGGCAACGTGAGACAACGGCCGTGAGACAACGGTGGCCACATCGGCTCAAAATCGGTCCCCGGACCCCTCCCGGGGTCCAAACGCACCGACTTTTCACGCTGCGTCCAGCCGTGGCGACGAGGAGGCCCCTCGGAGGCGAGAAAGGCAAAAACGTCACCCTTGTCTCACCCTGCCCTCCTCTGAATCACGCACACCAGTCGGGGAGACGTAAGACCCGGGTACGGGGGACTCGGAAATCCCCGACGAGGTCGTCAAAAAAATGACGAGGCCGAGCCTGCATTTTGACGAGGCCTCCCGCTGCAGACATCCCACGAAACTCCTACTCGTCAAAATCCGAGTCGCGGTCGTCAAAAAAAATAGCGAACCCGAGTCCTGGCAAACCCGGGTCTTACGCTCCCCCGAACCAGGCGCGAGCGGGCACGCCCCGGGCGGGGCCTCCTGCCCGCAGCGCCGGCGGCGCGAGCCGCGAAGGCGGCCTCGCTGGCCGCGCGAGGTGCGGCGGAGGCGGGCCGGCACGCGGGCGCGACGCGCGGGGGGCCCACGGGAGAAGAGCCACGGGACGCACATGGACATACTAGTACTATATGTCCTCCTTGGAGGCGCGCGTCCGACCCGAACATACAGTATACCCATCTTGTAGTATATCGTTTCCCGAGCGGTGTGGCCAGAAAGCGCCCGCCACGACGCATATACTATAAGATTTCTCGGTGCGCGCGTCGCCCCAGGGGGGGCGACGCACATATAGTATAAGTATGTTGGGGTGTTGCCGAAGCCACTCGAGTCAGGTCGGGCCTGTCCCCCTGCAGGGGGATCCTCCTGGAGGAAAAAGCCGCCGGCCCAACGGGCCAGAGGCGTGCTTAAGATCTCCGGTAACTACTTCACAATATATTTCTCGTTCGCGCGCGCGGGGCGGCCCCTGGGGGCCCCTGGCCGAAGAGTACCCCGGCCGATCCCCGGCCGGGGTAATACTCCACAACTACTCAAAAGATGCCGCAAAATAAAATACCCAAAACATGGTCCCCGGACTATTTTGTGACTGTTTTGGAACAGTACCCCTGTAGAGGGACAGGCCCGACTCAACACTTGAGCAGGGCTGGGGGGTCAGGTCTGCAAACACCCCAAAGGGACGTCATGGTGCGCAACCCAACCGTTCGGTCAAGCTGAAGTTGATGCACCACACCTGGCGTCGAGCCAAAACCTTAGACACAGGCGAATGGCTGGACCTTGCACATCTTCGTCGGCCTAACCGGCGAGGCGTTTGACCACCTTGACGTCCCTTTTCTGGTGGTCCTGCAGAGGAAGGCGCTCGCTGACCCACGGCCCTACTCAAGAGAGCCACTTGGGCAGACAGCGGTACTCTCTGGGCAAGGCTGCTCAGCGAAGGAAGCGAGTGGCGAGTCGGCATGAGCAACAGCATCGTGACAGCGAGATCGAGAGGAGGAGGACTGGACCGAAAACGACGACGGCGGCGGCGAGTAGCAGCAGCTTGAGCCGTAGCTGGCAATGCACAGGAAGCATGCGCCAGAACACGAGCGAGAGCAAGGACGAGACACACATGTGTTCACCACTGCCGCGCGTATAGTACGCCGCCCATCAGGATCAGCCACATCGCGACCTGCCCCAGCTGCATCTCCCCGCGCGAGTCGTCGGCAGGGCTGTCCTCTTGACTCGCCGAGGGCCCAAGGGTCCCTCCCTCCTCCCCCGCTCACCACCGGGTGCAGGGAAGACGGGGGCTAAGACGAGGGGGGGGGAACAGTTTAGCATGGGGGAAACGGGTCCTGGGGGAAACGGGTCCTGGATCCTGGGGCCTTCCCTCAGGACGAGATCCTCATCCTGAAGAGGGGGGGGGCACCCTCGCCACACCACCCACCACCCATACCCGAACCCGAACCCCTGACCCCCACGTTTCTGGGGGAGGGTGGGGTTCGCTTTGTCTGGGAGCTCCCGAGCGAATTGAACCCCACCCTCCCCTCAGAATGAGGGTGGTAGGGTGGGTTCGCATGTGGCCCCCTACTGAATCGTTTTCTGAACAGTCCCCGGCCGTGTGAGGACCCCCGGGACCCACCGACGGGCAAAAAAAAAAAAAAAAAAATAAGTAAAAAAAAAAAAAAAAAAAAAAAAAAAAAAAAAAAAGAAAAAAAAAAAAAAAAAAAAAAAAAAAAAAAAAAAAAAAACAAAAAAAAAAAAAAAATAAAAAAAACAAAAAAAAAAAAAAAAAACAAAAAAATAAAAAAAAAAAAAAAAAAAAAAAAAATAAAAAAAAAAAAAAAAAAAAAAAAAAAAATAAAAAAAAAAAAAAAAAAAAAAAAAAAAATTGGAAAAAAAAAAAAAAAAAAAAACAAAAAAAATAAAAAAAAAAAAAAAAAAAAAAAAAAAAAAAAAAAAACAAAAAAAAAAAAAAAAAAAAAAAAAAGAAAAAAAAAAAAAAAGAAAAAAAAAAAAAAAAAAAAGAAGAAAAAAAAAAAAAAAAAAAAAAAAAAAAAAGAAAAAAAAAAAAAAAAAAAAAAAAAAAAAAGAAAAAAAAAAAAAAAAAAAAAAAAAAAAAAAATAAAAAGAAAAAAAAAAAAAAAGAAAAAAACAAAAAAAAAAAAAAAGAAAAAAAAAAAAAAAAAAAAAAAAAAGAGAAAAAAAAAAAAAAAAAAAAAAAAAAAAAAAAAAAAAAAAAAAAAAACTAAGCTCAGGACCCGTTTCCCTCAGGACCCGCTTCCCCCGTGGCGAGGTAGTGCACCATGATCACGGCGCACTCCTCCTCACCCGGCCGGGCGCTCCTCGGGCCGCCACTGCCGGCAGGAGGCTCGCGCCAGCCGGTTGCACAGGTCGAAGCGCAGGGGGACTCCCAGGGGGTCCGGGGGGAAGGCCGCCTGCACCTGGGGGAAGGCGCACTCTCATCCTCACTCCGCACTCCTCACTCCTCACTCCGCACTCCTCGCTCCTCACTCCTCGCTCCTCACTCCTCATTCCTCGCTCCTCGCTCCTCGCTCCTCGCTCCTCACTCCGCACTCTTCACTCCTCGCTCCTCACTCCTCACCCAACGCTCCTCACTCCTCGCTCCTCGCTCCTCGCTCCTCACTCCTCACCCCGCACTCTTCACTCCTCACCCCTCACTCCTCACTCCTCACTCCTCGCTCCTCGCTCCTCGCTCCTCACTCCTCACCCCGCACTCTTCACTCCTCACCCCTCACTCCTCACTCCTCACTCCTCGCTCCTCGCTCCTCACTCCGCACTCCGCACTCTTCACTCCTCACTCCTCGCTCCTCGCTCCTCGCTCCTCACTCCTCACGCCTCACTCCTCGCTCCTCGCTCCTCGCTCCTCACTCCGCACTCTTTACTCCTCGCACCCCACTCCGCATTCCTCGCTCCTCACTCCTCACTCCTCGCTCCTCGCTCCTTGCTCCTCACTCTGCACTATTCACTCCTCACTCCTCACTCCTCACTCCTTGCTCCTCACTCCTCACTCCTCGCTCCTCGCTCCTCGCTCATCACTCCGCACTCTTCACTCCTCTCCTCACTCTTCACCCCTCGCTCGTCACTCCTCACTCCTCGCTCCTCGCTCCTCGCTCCTCCCTCCGCATTCTTCACTCCTCACTCCTCACTCCTCGCTCCTCACTCTTCACTCCTCGTTCCTCGCTTCTTGCTCCTCGCTCCTCACTCCTCACTCCTCACTCCTCACTCCTCCTCCTTCTCCTCCTCCTCTTCCTCCTCCTCCTCCTCCTCCTCCTCCTCCTCCCTCCCTCCCTCCCTCCCGCCCGCCCGCCCGCCCGCCCTCCAGGCCCTCGTCCTCCTCCTCCTTCCTCCTCCTGCCTCCTCCTCCTCCTCCTCCTCCTCCTGTCCGTCCTCCTCCTCCCTCCTCCCTCCCTCCTCACTCCGCCTCCTCCGCCTCCTCAGCCTCCTCCAACCTCCTCAGCCTCCTCCTCCTCCACCTCCTCCTCCTCCTCCTCCTCCTCCTCCTCCTCCTGCTTCCTCCTCCTCCTCCTCCTCCTCTCTCCTCCTCCTCCTCGCTCCTCCTCCTCGCTATTCGCTCCTCGCTCCTCGCTCCTCGCTCCTCCTCCTCGTTCCTCCTCCTCCTCGCCCCTCCTCTTCCTCCTCCTCCTCCTCCTCCTTCTCCTCCTCCTCATCTTCTTCGTATTAGTTCGTTCCCTATCATTAGTGGTATTATTCATACTCTTCGTTTTATTATGATGATTAATATTATTATTATGATTATTATTATTATTAGCAGTAGTATTATTATTGGTAATATTATTATTATTATTATTATTAGTATTAGTATTATTAGTATTAATGTTATTATTATTGTTATTGTTATTATTATTAGTATTACTAGTATTATTATTACTACTATTATTATGATTATGATTATTATTAATGAAATATTATTATGATTCGCATTCGTATTCGTAATTTTCGTCGTCGTATTATTCTTCAGACTATGATTAGTATTATTCGTTGTATGAGTGTTATTGACATGAGTTGTCTTTTTATGATTAGCAGCATTCTTCTTGTTAGCATTATTGGTCTTATCAGTCGTAGTAGTAGTAGTAGTCGTCGTCGTCGTATAAGTAATCGTATTAGTATCAGTATTAATTCATGTCTTCGCACCATTATTAGTAGCATTCGGATTCCTAGCATTCGTATTGTTAGTCTTCTTCGTACTAGTATTATCTGGTGTATTCACAGGGTTCGTCGCATTCGTAGTCTTCTTCTTATTCATAGTAGTAGCCTTGGTACTCGTATTATGAGTAGTAGTATTAGTGGTATGCTTCGTAATAACAGTATTAATAGTATTATGATGGGTGTTATTATTAGTCGTATTACTCATTTTATTCTTAGTAGTAGAAATATTACTCGTCTTAGTATTCTTAGTATTCGTAGCATGGTTCTTCGTTGTGTTCTTCTCGTAGTAGTAGTAGTACTAGCAATCTTGTTCGTAGTATTAGTACTCGCCTGATTCGTATTCGCAGTATTCGTCTTCGTATTAGTATTAGTATTATTAACCGTCTTACTCTTAGTCTTACTAGTCTGCGTAGTATTCTTCTTAGTCGTATGAGTATTCGTATTCTTCTTCGTGTTATGATTATTGACAGTACTGATCTTATGCGTATTAGTATTCGTTGTTTTCGTCCTCCTCCGCCTCTTCCTCCTCCTCCTCATCCGCATCCTCCTCCTCCTCCGCATCCTCCGCTTCCTCCGCTTCCGCCTCCTCCTCCGCCTACTCCTCCTACTCCTGTTACCTCCTCCTCCTCCTCCTCCTCCTCCGCCTCCTCCTCCTCCTCCGCCTCATCATCATCATCATCATCATCATCATCATCATCATCATCATCATCATCATCTATCATCATCATCATCACCACCACCACCACCACCACCACCATCATCATCATCATCATCATCATCATCATCATCATCATCGTCATCATCATCATCATCATCAGCAGCAGGCATCTCATCATCACCATCATCATCATCATCATCATCATCAGCATCAGCAGCATCATCACCACCATCATTCATCATCATAATCATCATCATCATTCATCATTCATCATCAAGCAGCATTCATCATCATCATCATAATCATCATCATCATCATCAGCGCAGCATCATCTCATCATCATCATCATCATCATCAATCATCATCATCATAATCATACCATCATCAGCATCATCATCATCAGCACATCCATCATCAGCATCATCATCATCATCATCATCATCATCATCTCATCAGAAATCGACCATCGTCATCAGCATCATTCATCATCATCATCATCATCATCATCATCATCATCATCATCATCATCATCATCATCAGCAGCAGCATCAGCATCAGCATCATCATCAGCATCATCATCATCATCAGCATCAGCACCATCATCAGCAGCATCGTCGTCATAATCATCATCAGCATCATCATCAGCAACATCATAATCTTCAGCATCATCTTCAGCATCAGCATCATCGTCAGCATCATCATCAGCATCATCATCATCGTCAGCAGCATCATCCTCCTCATCAGCATCATCCTCAGCATCATCATCATCAGTATCATCAGCGTCGTCGTCATCATCATCATCATCGTCATCATCATAATCATCATCATCCGCATCATCATCATCAGCAGCATCATCATCAGCATCATCAGCATCAGCATCAGCATCAACATCATCATCATCATCATCATCAGCATCAGCATCAGCATCATCATCATCATCATCATCAGCATCAGCATCATCATCATCATCATCCTCGTCCTCCCCTCCTCCTCCTACTCCTGCTCCTCCGCCTCCTCCTCCGCCTCCTCCTCCTCCTCCTCCTCTTCCTCCGCCACCTCCTCCTTCTCCTCTACTCCTCCTCCTCCTCATCCTCCTCCTCCTCCTCCTCCCCCTCCTCCTCCTCCTCCTCCTCCTCCTCCTCCTCCTCCTCCTCCCGTTCATCCTCCTCCTCCTCCTCCTCCTCCTCCTCGTCCTCCTCCTCCTCCGCATCATCATCCTCCTCCTATTCCTTCCTCATCCTCCTAAATCCTCATCACTTCCTCCCTCCTCCCCTCCGGCCCTTTTTCCTCCTCCTCCGCATGGTCCTCCTCAAATTCCTCCTCCTGTTCCGTCCCCTCCTCCGCCGCACTCCTCACTCCTCACTCCTAACTCATCACTCCTCACTCATCGCTCCTCGCTCCTCGCTCCTCACTCCACACTGTTCACTCCGCACTCGTCACTCCTAACTCACTCCTCACGCCTCACTCCTCGTTCCTCGCTCCTCGCTCCTCCCTCTTCACTCCTAACTCATCACGCACGCCTTTCCTCACGCCTCCTCCTCCTCCTCCTCCTCCTCATCCTCCCTCCTCCTCCTTTCCTCCCCTCCCCTTCCTCCTCCTCTTCCTCCTCCATTCCCCCATCTCCTCATTATTTTCCTCCTCCCCTCCTCCTCCTCCCTCCCCGCCTCATCCTCCTCCTCCCCCCTCCCTCCCCTCCCTCCCCTTCCTCTCCCCCTCACTCCCTCACTCATCCCCTTTCCTCCTCCCTCCTCCCTCCTCCATCCTCCCTCCTCCCTTCCCTCCTCCCTCCTCCCTCCCTCCGCCCTCCCTTCCTGATCCTCCACTCCTCCCCCCCTCCTCCCTCCCTCCTCCCTCGTCCTTCCTCCTCTCCCCCCTCCCCCCCCCCCCCGCCCCCCCCCCCCCCCCCCCCCCCACCCCCCCCCCCCTCCCCCCCTCCCCACTCCATTCTCCCTCCGCCCCCCTCCCTCCTCCATCCTCCCTCCTCCATCTCCCTCCTCCCTCCCCTCCCTCCCTACTCTCCTCCCTCCTGATTCCCTTCTCCTTCCTCCCGCCTCCCCCTCCCTCCCTCCTCCATCCTCCCTCCCTCCGCCATCCGCCCTCCTCCTTACTCCCTCCTCCATCCTCCACCCTCCCCCCCCCTTCCTGCATCGACGATGCATGGGCGGTTCGGGGCCGCTGCACCACCCCCTGAACCTGTCCCCTAATGTTGCCCCGTGGTGTTCGGATCGTAGTTAGGCTCTGTTGGCGGTCCTTCAGAACGCTTCCAGTACGCCCCGAACGCCTCCGACGAGGCGCAGCTTGTGGAGACCACCCCAAGCCTCGAAAACTCTCGAACGCTTCCGAACACGTCCCGCAACCTCAGAGAAATGCCCGCCAGCGACAGCCAAAAAAAACATCTCGGCCACGCGCCAAGATGGAATGGCGCAGAATTCCACGGATCGGGGAGAGCAGCCCCGAAACGAGAGGCCAATGCCGCCCCATGGTGAGACGGAGCGCGTCGATTCGGGCCACGAATCCGCGCGCCTGAAGCCCACACCTGCGCTTCCTCAAGGCGAGTACTTCCGTGGTGTTCCCGTGGTACTCTCTGTCTGGCTGGGCCCGGGTCGGGGTGGTGACCTCTGGTCAGTGATTGCAGTTGTGATGACCATCGCTGCTTGGACGGTCTCGTGGAGAGCGGTAGTCTCGGCAGTGAGGGAAGAAACCGACTCTCGAAGAGAGAAGTGCCTCCTAGTATGAGGAGTCGCCACTGTTCCATGACATTCCCCCAACCCTTTGAGCTGGAGCACTGGGCCTGGCGAAGATGGGTCTGCGGGGAGAGGGGCAATAGTGCTTGCAGTAGCTTGTGCTTGGATATAATAGTTTGCGAGCTGGATGGAATGGTTGCGCGTGGATGCAATTGTATACCTTTCTCGTGCACAACAATTTTCGTCCGTGCTATAGTTCGCGCCCCCCCCCCCCGCAATAGCTGTGCACTGTTGCACGCAGTAGCGCATAACGAGTGACCGATCGCACCTTTCGCCGCCCACACGTTTGCGCCAGACCCACTGGTCTAGTTCAGATCCCCTCCCATCTCCTCACACTCCAACCCTCTTGGTTGTGCCTCGGTATTGCTTGTTTTTGCTGAGAGAGGGAGAGAGAGAAGAGAGAGAGAGAGAGAGAGTGAGAGAGAGAGAGAAAAAAAAAGGAGAGAGACATGCAGGCTCTGTAGTTAGCCTCAACGTCGTACCTCTCTTCTCATGCTTCACAATGATATTGCACTTCGCTTGACCCTCTTTTAGTTGCTGACTGTCACAGGCTGTCAAAGAAGTTCATTTGGCCATAAGGTCATAACCTGGGAGACGTAAGATTCGGGCTCGGGGCACTCGGCTTGGCCTGACGGGGCCGTCAGGAAAACGACGACGCCCAGTCTGAAACTTGATGCGAGCTCCCGCTGCTATAACGCCCCACACGAACTGGAATGTCCAGCACGCCCAGCTTCCTGCGAACTCGAGTCTCACGCTTCTCCGACACATCCCCCCTTGGGGGGCAACGCGGGGGGGGGAGCTGCCCCATGGGGGGAGCTGCCCCATGGAGGGAGACATCGACTGGGAATCGGCGATACATCGCCGATAGAATTAGGTCGCGCATATCCTCCTACAGGCGGATTTTGGACGAAAAATGAAATAACAAGTAATCCAAATATACCCCAAAATAGACAACCGGAAAAATACCCCAAAAATAATCCAAACCAAGTGCTACTACTACTCTGGGAGAAAAAAAAACGTAGAGGGACAGGCCCGACTTACCGACAGAACGGCGACAGGTCCCCGATAGCGAATCCGCACATTCCTGGGCGGGGTTGGCCATCGGGCCCCCCTCGGCGATCCATGGGCGACTGGGGGCCGATGCTTCACCCCCCCCCAAAGCCTATCGGAGAAGCAGGGCGAGGAGGAGGAGGAAGAGGAGGGCGAGTCAAGAGGAGGAGCAGGAGGAGGAGGAAGAGGAGGGCGAGTCAAGAGGAGGAGGAGGAGGAGGAGGAGCAAGAGGAGGGCGAGAAGAGGAGGAAGAGGGGCCGAGGCACCCCCCCCCCCCCGAGCCTGCCTCCCCCGAACGTTGCCCCTGACCCCCGCTCGACGGGGCGGCGCCTCGCGGCAGCCGCCCGCGAGCGCCTCCTCCAGCGTTCCGCCGCGGCGCGCCGCCTCGCGTCCAGAGCGGAGGAAGCCGTAGATCTGGTTGCCGCTGCTCTCCTCGTTGGGCGTGCGCACCTCCGCGGGGAGGCAGAGACGACGACGACGGCGACGGCGACGGCGACGGCGACGGCGACGGCGACGGCGACGGCGACGGCGACGGCGACGGCGACGGCGACGACGACGACGACGACGACGACGACGACGACGACGACGACGACGACGGTGGCGGCGGCGGCGGCGACGAGGCAGAGGCGCCGATATTCGGGTCGGACGAAGCGGCGGAACAGATGACGACGACGACGACGACGACGACGACGACGACGAACACGACCACGACGACCAGGACGACCATGACGACCAAGGCGACGACGACGGCAGCGGAGGCGGCGACGGCGACGGCGACGGCGACGGCGACGGCGACAGCGAAGGCGACGACGACGACGACGACGACGACGACAGAGGAAGAAGTTCGCAGGTCTCCGCGGATTTCTTGGCTCGGCTTTGAACCCCAAGGGGATCCAGCGCCGAGCCAAGAAAATCGAGCGGAACTCCGGCAGCTCAAGTTTATGCCGTCCACTTATCTTCAACATGTGCTGAAGGCGCCGATACACGGACGGCTTGCCCTCGATCTCGGCCGGAGGTCTGCCCTCGAGTTGTTTCCACTAGGGGTGCTCCCTTCCGGGCCCTGCAACCGCCAGGGATCGATCTGGGACGTCAGAATTGCTAGGATGGCGCCTTTCTGTTTCTTCGTCCCCAGACATCCGACGACATTACTTTTTCAACGCGCAGCCCGAAAAATCCCGACCCCAATCCAGGGCGTGCTCTCGCCCCAGAAAAGTGTGTGATGGCCCCTGAGCCCGGAAATTCGCTCCAGAGGCCGAAGTCGAAGAAAAACGCCCGGACTGAAAAACTCACATCGTCAAAGGTCTGAGCCTTCAAGACGAAAAACGACGCCAACGCCGACCCCGACGCCGCCGCCGCCGCCAACGACGACGACGCCACCGCCGCCGCCGCCGCCGCCGCCGACGACGACGACGACGCCGCCGGCGCCGCCGCCGGTGACGACAACGACGACGACGACGACGACGACGACGACGACGACAACAAACAAAAAAAAAAACGAGGCGAACCTTTCGCGCGTTTTCTCCGTTGCCAGGATGGCGGTTTTCCGTCTCTGGGAGGGAGCATGGAGGGGCGCACTGGCTCAGGGGAGGGGACAGCGACCGGGAAGCTGCAGCACGCCGCCCACGGATCGGGTGGTCGGCTCCAGGCCCCTGGTGGCGGAACCGCCCGTTCCTGGGCGGGGTCGGGGGCATCGCCCCCCCCATCGGCGATGCATGGGCGACTGGGGGCCGATGCCTCCCCCCCTGGCCCATTCTCCCCCTACGGCCAGGTCGGGCGTCCTCCTACAGGCGGATTTTGAACGAAAATTGAAAAAGATTCAAAACATACTCAGAAACGATCGACCAAAAAATAAAAAATCGTTCCCGTCCTATTTTTTGGCTATTTTCGAATATTCCTCCTGTAGAGGGACATGCCCGACTTAACCCTATCGGCGATGAGTGGGCGATTGGGGATGCATCCCCCCTTGGCCTATCTGCCCCCACGGCTGCCCCGCGGCTTTCGGGTCGTACCTCGGCTCCCCAGCGACCGTTCGGGACGGTCTGGACGCCCCCGGAACGTCCGCGGCGTGGCGCAGCTGTTCGAAGGCATCCCGAAGCTAAACAAAAAAACGAAAACGGGAAAAAAATCAGAGAACAAAAAAAAAAAAAAAAAAAAAAACATGAACCTCGAACCTCCTCCTCCTGCACCGCCTCCTCCTCAGAAGCTACAGAACCCCCGAAAACGGAAAAAACAGTCCGAAGACCTAAACCTCGAACCTGGTCGGTCCCATACCGATCCCCCCCTTCTCGTGACACCCGGAGTCTTCCAAACGACGGCTGCGGGCGTGCCCCCGCGCGCCGCGCCTGGAAGGCCTCGCCGCCCTCCAGGCACGCGGCGCCGTGGATGGCCTGAGCTCGTCGTCGTCGTCGTCGTCGCCGCCGCCGCCGCCGTCGTCGTCGTCGTCGTGGTCATCGTCGTGGTCGTCGTCGTCGTGGTCATCGTCGTGGTCGTCGTGGTCGTGGTCGTGGTCGTCGTGGTCGTGGTCGCGGTCATCGTCTTCCTCTTCCTCCTCCTTTTCCTCCTCCGTAACACCTCCTTCCTCCTCCTCCACTTTCCTTCCTCCTTCCTCCTCGATTTCCTCCTCCACTGCCTAACCTTCGTTTCGTCATCGAAAGGGGACGTCATAGACTCGGCAGGAGAAAAGCGTCAAGCATCGCAGCGCCGTCAGGTGCCCACCCCCTTTTCGGAGACCACAAATTGTAGAATCCCAATGGTTCAAACACAACAAACAACAATCAACAACAACAACAACAAAAACAACAACAAACAATTATAGCCCGTGGGGGACACACCGTCTCACCAGTGCCGGGGTTTTCATAGGAGGCGGGCAATACCCCCACTTTGTGGGGGGGCCGGTTCAAGCTCTACCACATTTCCAAACGACTCTTCGCCACCACCCACACCAGCTTCCCGCCCTATGACGTTCGGACACCTCACTTCGTGGCCTGCGGACGACGGGCTATATTCAGGGCCCCGCGGCCGGACGACGACGGCGTGCGCGCGCGAAGATAAAACGAATGTGAATGTGTCCGCATGGTATTATTTGGACAGGGTTGAGGACCTGGCAGGTGCGCAAACGTTGTTGCAGAAGGTCCCTCCAAAAGTGGCTGCAAAAGGCCCGTTTGACAGAAAGATTAAAAAGGTGTTGGGTTTCCTACGAATCCGCAAGTAAAGAGCGCGCGGGATGAAATTTTTGATATATATTTTTGAAAAACAATTGGCGTTTTTATGTTAAAATCGCTACGAAAACTAAGGTTTTGGAAGGATTTCGTCTTGCGCGCGCGAATGTCCACTTTACCATATTTTTTGCAGGGGATTCTTGAAGTTTGGTTATGTTAGAACAAGAAATGTCCACTTTAGCTTATTTTTGCAAGGGAAAACCGATCGTAACAACACAACCGGATCCGGACTCCCCCGTTTTGCCTGAGACTTCCTCACGAAAATGATGAAAATGAGGCTGCGGCCTAGGCGCGGCGGGGGGGTCGTGAACCAGGGGTCCCAACAATAATTATTCTTTAGAAGTAATAATGTTCAACAACAACAACAACAACAACAACAACAACAACAACAACAACAACAACAACAACAACAATGGTGGCATTATCTATATCCCGCCCTGCCTGGCGGACCAGAACTACCCAGGCCTCAACCATCCGCCCTGGCCAGGGAGCTCCAAATTTGAGCCCTGTTAGAATTCCGAAACAATCCCGTCCACCACCGCTCCGATATACCCAATCCCCGTCCGGTCAATGCGATGCCCTGTTGGGCTATCTCGGCATACGTGGCTGCAAGAGGTGCCGACGGAGAGCTCGGTGCTGAGTTGAGGACCCTCGAACAGAGCCCCCTGTTACCAGCAGAAACGAGTAGGATGGTGCGCTATTGGCGACCTGCCTTCGAGAGGGAGCCCGTGAGAGAGCCCTCGAACAAAGACCCTCTAGGACAAGGGCAGATGAAAGTGGGAGACCGTAACCGGCAAACACTTCGTTATGTCCGCCTGCCTCCGCTGCACCAACTGGAGAGGAATCGAACGTGCTGTGCTCGAACTGCCCTCGAGCGTGGAGTGCCTTTCCGTCGAGTTCGTCCGTCCTCACGCTTAATGAGGGCTCTCGATGTGGCCCCCTTTCAGCCACTTAAACGATGCTGGATGTCCTCGAAGCCCCTCCCCTGTAATCCCCTTCTGTCTGGCTCATGTTAGCGTTCCCAAGGCCTTTGAAACAGAAGGGCGTCGGGGGGGGATCCCTCCGGAGGGCCCTCGGTCAGAGACCCTGGTCCCTGCAGACCCATACCGAGCCTCGGTGGAGGAGGATAGAGGGAGGACATGTGGTAAACAAGAGGACAAGAGGCATTACAAGGAGGAGGGAAAGTACAACCTGCCATTGGCAATGCTGGGCGACTGTGACAAACTATTGGCCCCAAACAGAATGGAGATGCCGACCCTTTTGGCGGCGGCACCGCTGCGTGCCCAATCTCGCCTGACCAAATTTATCACCTCTCAACACTGCTCGAGGGTGCCGAAGGGAAGCTCCATGTGGGGACCCTTGATAAGAGACCCTCAGTACCACTCCCGATCAGGCCCTTGACCGTGCCAGATCTGAGCACGTGCTGCGCAAAACGAACCTGGTCTGCGAGGCTTCACGGCACTGCACCTGCTACACGCCACGAAAAAAGATTCAAGAGAAATGCTTGGCAAAACAGGATGGGAAGGTCTCGGCGCAGTTCTTAAACCAGTCGCGCCACTACTCCATCTACTGGGCCTGCTCGCCGCTCTGGCCGCCTTGTCGCCGCCGTCGACGCCTCGTCGCCGCCCGTCGCCGCCCGTCGCCTGGGACTGCGGGCCGCTCTGGCCGCAATGTGGCCGGCCGCCTCGTCGCCGCCGCCTCGCCGCCCGTCGCCGCCCGTCGCCTGGGCCTGCGGGCCGCTCTAGCCACCATGTGGCCGCCGTCGCCTCCTCGTCGCCGCCCGCCGCGTCGTCGCCGCCCGCTTCGCATTGCTTAGCATTGGTTTGCATTGTTGTTGCAATTTATGTTTGAATTGCTTTACATTGCTTGGCATTTGGCGGCATTGCTTTGTATTGCTTTGCGTAGCTCTGCATTGTTCTGCATTGCTTTGCGCTAATTTGCGTTACGTTACACTACTGTGTGCCACTGCATTGCAATCACACTGCTTTATGCTGTTTGCACTGCACTGCATCAAATTGATGTGCATTGATTTGCATTGTTTAGCATTGATTTTCGTTGCTCTGCATTGCTCTGCCTTGATTTGCATTGCTTGCCATTGCTTTGCAGTGCGTTGCATCGCTTTGCATTGCATATGATTCGCATTGCAATCGCACTGCGTTTCACTGTTTTGCATTGCGTTGCGTTGTTCGGCATTAATTTGCATTGCTCGGCATCGCTTGGCATTGCGTTTCATTGATCAGCATTGTTTTGCGTTTCTTGCCATTGATTTGCATATTTTGCATTGCATTACATTGATTTGTATGGCTTTCCTGGCTGACACGCATAGACGCTTACACAAGTACTTGCGCACATCCGCACACGTCACAAAAGAACGACGCCACGTAGATTGTCCTTTCTAAAAAGAGAATAGACTCTACCCCCCCCCCAGGCTTATCCGTTCCCCTTTCGGGTATGTAAATCATATATGATTCTGACCACTCGTCCATCCAAAATATGAAATCATATCATCCCAGCCAGGCCGGGTTCCCCCCCCCCTGAGGTTCCCTTGTAAAAAACACTATGCGGTGACATGTTTTGTTCTAAGATAACACTGTTGCATGAATCCCTTGCAAAAAATGGGACGAAGTGCACACGCGCGCGTCGTCGCGCGCGCATGCCGAAATCCTTCAAAAACCTTCGGTGCGGGAAGGATGTCGCAATCGAGTTTCCAAAAAAAACATACAAAAACACAAGGTGTCGCAACACTGATTTGCTAAAAAAGCTTCCGCGCGAGCTCTTGCGAAATCTTAAGAAAACCATGGGTTTTCAAGATTTTCACAACATGCTACCAAACGGGCTTCGCGCGCGCGCATGTCGAAATCTGTCGGGCGCCCTTGCGCGTGTGCCGTCGCGAGAATCCTCGGCAAAAAATGGGACGAAGTGCAGACGCGCGCGTCGTCGCGGGCGTATGCCGAAAACCTTCAAAACCCATCGGTTTCGGAAGGATTTCAAAATCGTGCGTCCAAAAAACCTGCAAAAACCGAAGGTTTCGCAACACGGATTTTCAACAAAAGCGTGCGCGCGCGCTCTTGCGTCGTCGTCGTCGTCGTCGTCGTCGCCGTCCTCCCTCCTCCCGCGTCGTCGTCGTCGTCGTCGTCGCCTACGTCCTCCTCTGTCTTTTCTCGTGTTCGTCGTCGTCGTCCTCTTTGGCGTCGTGGTCGTTTCCGTCGTCGTTGTCGCCGTGG